GGTGTTTGCTCCATAGTCCAGCTCTCAAAAGTTTTGTTCTTCGGCTTTCAGTTTTATATAGTTGTACCCTAGGAACTAAGGCAGTGATGGTTTCCGCGAAAGTGAAGAGAATAATAAGGTTCATATTTCTTCACCTGCTAGACGACCTATTGCTTGTGCTGCAGCAGTCGTTTAAACTCCTCTAAAATAGAACGCGCAGTAGTGTAGAAAGAAATGTTTTGCTCTGGTAAAAGTGACTGAAAAATTCTAAAATTTTGCAGCTTTACTGCAGCTTTTTTGATTAGATAAAAAGACCACATAAGCTGTGAGAACGTTTTGCAATTGCAAAAGATTGGTCAATTTCAGTAGTACCAGTTAACGAAAAGAGGAGGGATTAGATGGCATTCTCATCCGTTTGCTTTTGGTTTTGTTCCTTCTAACCTGGTTATTTTGACAGAATATTTTTCGTTTTAAAATGAGCTTAAGAAATTTACGTTAGTGTCCAAAGGGAAAACATGAGTTTGTGTATCGCATTTTCAAAAAACCGAGAAAACTAAAGTACGATTGTCTGAGCGTAATAGAATTTCTATACGTTATCTTTCTTACTGAATATAATACCCTTAATAATAAAACGAAATAAGCAACGTAAGTTGGAGTTTATCAGCAAATGTTTAATAAGTTTTATTTTTGAGCTTTTTTTTTTTTCAAAGCTGAGACAGAGGAACTTTTCAGCGTTTTGCCAGATTGAGCTACAGTAAAATGTGTATGCAAATAGTTTTAATAATAGAAGCATTTTACAAATAATTTAAAGAGTTATCTTAATTGTAAAATAGTCTTTAATTTTTTGTCGAGCTTTTAATGTGTGTGGTACAAATTTAGTTAGTAGCTGCTGAGTCGGTGCGGCACAAGCACTTAACTCCTGTTTTTGTCCACACACGCTTGTCGGTGAGAACTGGGAAGTTTTGTTTTAATTATCGGTAGGCTGCACCTTCTGAACATTTCTATCAAAATTATTTCTCATATAATATAAAGATTTTTTGTAAAACTTTATGAAATTTTATTCTGCTTTACTTTTCTGAAAGTTTTCTGGTTTTGCATTCATTATTGAAATGCACAAGAAGAACCAGGAGGAACCAAAAAGGCAAGAAGAAGAAGGTAATTGTGCAACTTTATACGCGTGCGGAGCAGCTGATTGGGTAAAACAACAAATTCTGTGCTGCATTTTTTGCTTGTTTTTATACGCAGTGTTTTGCGATTTTAGCTTTCTGAAATTTTGAAGGTGACTGTTAAAAGTAAGCATAAACTTTTACTAAACATTTTTTTAAACAGTAGAAAATCTGTTTTTGTAAATACTGAGATAATGGAAACATTAATGTATAAAACAAATAAGTTACCGATCTACATGCAAAAAATTCAAACCTCCTCGATTTAGACGTCGTAAGACTTGTGTAGTTCAGTTTGTCAATAGCGCACAATCTTCTAAAATCGGTAAACAACAGATGAGAATCATTAAAAATATACTGTTTTGTTGCTGGAAAGAGTGACGCTTTAATACTAATAATACAAGATAAAAAAATTGCTTGGCATTGTAATCAGCACTAGAGAGGTGAAAATGTGAAATCGTACTACGCAGAAGAATGGCGTTGTACAAGATTTAAACTTTCAAGTGACTGTTTCAGTAGACAGCATTTACTTGGTCAACTTACAGTAATAGTAATGATTAGCTGTATTTATTGCTTTAACCTATTTAAAAAATTTATTAAGAGCTTTCTGCTCCAGATACCAGGAAACTGAATGAATTCCTTATATGCTCTACTAAAACGTTGACTTGGACGTCTGTGGAAAAACACCAACGCCACGCTTTCTTCAAAACAGTTCCCAGAACACTATTTACTCCTATTCATACTAAAATGTTTCAAAATTTTTATTTTTACGTATTTCATATTTTGATTTACGTATTTTTGACCAAGTAACTGGTCGCTTTCACTTATCTTTACCATATAAAACTTTTTCCGATATTACACTCAAAGTGATCTTATGCGATTATAAACTTTACACTTAAGTAATAAAAGTAACAGACGTTATGTTATCAAAATCTATTTTTTGCTTCAGCAGAAATACTCAAAAAAGCAGTCTGTAATGACAGAGCAGAGAAACTGTGACGAAATTACAAAGCCTTGTTTAGTTTTTATCTAAAAACGAATACTATCTTTTTGCCGTAACTGTTACACCGGTGCATTGACTTTTTAGGTTTTACAGATGTGTAAGGCCTTCAACAGATAGCAAGAGTTTTGTACTGACCATTTTGTTTCAAAAAAAATTTTTTAATGGAATTTTTAAATAGTTTATTTAAAACTGTACAATTGTTGCATGTTAATTGGCTTATTAATTGCAGAATAACTCTACCTCTTTTTATAAAAGCAGCAACGAAAATTATAAAAGATGTTTTATAGAGTCAGCAAATGATGTGTAAACATTTAAAGCGTTCAGCATGTTTCTTATTACGAAGGTATTTACTTACTTATGAAGCAATCTGCCAACACGTTTGTTTTATACAGCAATGTGAAAGTGTAACTAACAATCCTTCATTTTTTATCTATTTCAAAATGAAATTGAAGTTGTACAATTTCAAAGTCACAGCCTAGTCTTTCACAGTAATATCGGTGAGTAACTATTAGTGAGAACAGCGACTGTTAAGCAGAAAGTCTATTTTCTTTGAAAATCACTTGTTACTTTGAAGACCTTTAAAGGCAAAAATTATCTTTTCATTATTTACCCTTCTTATTGTCGTCACCTGTGATGTAAAGCAAATTAAATTGTTATCAGCGATATAGTGAACATTGATTGCAAGCTAAGTTCAGTTTTTTTTCGCTTTTTGACGTTTATAAATAGAAGTTTCTTTAGGACAGAGCAATGTAGAACTTTCTTTTCAATTGCCTTCACTTGATGTAATGTAACTTTGCAAGTGTTCACAAAGATAGTTTACGTTGGGCAAACAGATAAAAATTTTTTTTGCACACAGGTTTCAGTGTCGATTAAGGTTTTTTTTGATGAACTGAGCGGTGCTTCTGTTTTACGCTTATATTTCCTTTTTCAAAAATATTTTTCAGTGATGAGATGAGAGAATGTATCAAAGAAATAATTCACGAATTATCGTTTTTTGTCAGATACTTGCACAAGCACTCTGAGATACAAAACCAATTTTTTTTGGTCACTAAGTTATTTAGCTTTTGACTAAATAGCTAGCTAACACTTGATCTACAGTTCTTAGCGTTTATTGGTTTTTATCCTACCTGAATATAGCATTTTTACACTTTTAAAAAGTCGGTTACTCTTTCAGTAGAAAATAGTTTTGCATAAATAAGGTGTTAATTACAGATCTGAATTTCCGCGACATTTCTTACCGCAAATAAAGAACTCTTTTTGACTTATTGACCACATCTGTAGAGAATGTGAACATGCAAGTTTAAACAACTAAGTTTTTTCGTCTTCTCAATACAGCAAACAATGTTTAAAAGTTCGAAGTTGAAAAGGTTCCCATGGTGCTTCAAAGACGCTTGCTGCTTCCTATTTATTAAAAGGTTACCACCAAATAAGGCAAGTGGTTAACATAAAGTTCGCACCTCTCTTGCGTTCGGCACGTTTTTTAACTTGATATTGTGGCATTATTAATTGCAGATTGAAAAAGGAAATTTAAAATAGGTTTTTATGTTCTGTTTACTGAGCTACAGTTAGCACATAACTTGTTAATATATATTGATAATTGTTATAAACACTGAGCAGATAAAGCTGACGTTGTTTTTCTTCATCACTATCAAAAGTGGAAGATATTTTCCAGGTACCGTGAATTTGTTTGCTGTAATACATTGCTGAATTAACCTGACAACGTTTAAAAAGTTATGATTTAAAGTCATATTTTATAATTCCTACGATATTTTGTTTCATTGTTCTTTACTAAAACTGTAATTGAGCAAACATTCTGTTACTTTGAACAACGATTATAAGCTTGACCTTTTGTAGGCTTTTTTTGGAACTTTAAAGATTTAAACTTAGGCAATTAAAAAAAACAATAAAACCATTTCAATACCCTATGGCATTTTATGACACCTCATTTTATGCATTTCTCAACTGATCCTTACAATTCCAAAAATAAACACTTAACTTAGCTGTTAAGAGTGATCACTTTTCCTGCAAAGATGATTATATCTGTTATTTTAGGTAAAACTGCTGTTCTTTAAATGTTATATTTGAAATATTATTTCTAATAATTACCGTGAAACAGAAGTGTAAAGCTGATTAATTCAACCATGATTTTTGCTTTTTGGGTTTTCTCAGAGAGAGATTACATATGAAAAGAAAGGAACACTGATAATTTTTAAAAACTTTTTATTGCTTAACTGTTCTTGGTTGCACTTCTGTTTCGCTTTAGCCTCATAGGACTATCATCTGAAATTTTTTGTGCTAAAACAGCGGTTTGTACATTTCTGCTGCTTAATAATTTCGGAACAGTCAGCAGCGTGTTATGTGCAACTAACGTTTTTTTAAGAAAATACACTGCAACATTAGAAATCTTTGTTGGACATAAAACATAAAAACTTCTGCCTTTTTCTTGATACTATTAACAAATTATCTTCATCTTCTAAAAAAACAAAGATTATTGCAAGGTATCAAAAACTGATTTTGCTAAGCTGTTTTTTGACGTTCAGAAGTACTGATTACCGTTTGGTAGTTTATGCTAAAGTCCCAGA